TGGTTTTTCATCAAGCCTTTGTCCCCGGAAGTCAAGGGCGTGTGAGTTGTTAACCAACAGACCAAGGGATAGACCCGACTGGGGTTAAAATACCGTTCAGGGGCCCCGTCCCCCGCGCCGGGGCTTCGGGGGAGGGGCCCGGGGGGGGGGGGGGGGGTCGAGCTTATCTCTTCAACCAGACCAGAGATAAGATGCGCTGCTGATCCGTGAGGGAGTTCCACTCTTCCGACTGAACGAGCAGGGGGAGGCGTTGAGGGTAATCCGTGGACGGCACCTATCCAACCTATCGCTATTTCGCGACGATTCTTGCAGGCATGGTTGGGACGCCCAGCATACGTGAGAAAAATGCAGCTTTTGATGCCAAGCTGATCCGGAGATTGGATGTGGCGGGTGAAGGGCGAAAGCCGTCCATTTTGTTGCTAGTTTTGTGTAGGCGATGCGGGTATGGCCGTAGGAGTGTGATGGGCACTGAAGATGATGCGAGGTAAAGATAAGGATACCACCCACCCCAATGCGGGAGCACTCTGACTTGTCGACTATCCCCGCAAGGGGCAGAGAAGGAGTGGCGACAGGTCACCACAGAATGAGATGGGCCAAATGGCAAGCGTGTCATGGCGGCAAACATCGTGGTCAGAGCTCTTTTCTAAGGGACAAAGCCCTCTGTATAGGGTTTGATGACTGAAACGCGAGTAGAAAACAAACCGTTCAGAAACCGGATGCTGCTGCCATGGTGTGGTACACAGTAGTACAGGTGGCCCAAGGCCCTAAGAGAAAGTCATTGGGAAACAGCGAGCTTCTAAATATGCTGCGCTTAACGGCAATCCGTTCTCCTGGCCTTAGTCTGGTTTTTCTTTTCATCACGCATGCGAGGCTGCCTTTTCTCCTTCGGGATCGTGTCGTTGTGGTCGTCTCCCAAAAAAAAAAACACCTTCTGCTCAGCAAATTACGTTACCTTACAGTAATATCCGTCAGGGCCCAACTGACGAGGACCGCCTTCCGTGGTCAAATACAGGTAGGACCGACTCGATACTCTAGGCTAAGTTTTTCCCTCCACAATTCAGAGGCCACAACTAACCCGACAACATGTTAGATCGTAGTGCTTCGTTTGTTGACTCTTGCTATGACACTACTTGTATTATTAGGACAAACCACCACGAACAGAAAAAAAAAACTGCCACACGAGTTCTGCCTACGAGAGAACCTCAAACCTACGGCCAACATGGCAAAACTCACGATACCAGCACGCCCACCCGCTCACTCTCCGCGTCGGCGCGTAAACCCGCCGTACGGGGTCCTACCGAGTAAATGTACACACGACAACAGAAAAAAAAAATCGCCACGGGTCGGCTACATAAAGAAAGTAAAAGACGTCGCTACAATAAGGCCCGCGTTTTCCGCGTCGATACCAAAACAGCGGCCGTTGAGGTGTGCCTGGAACGCACGTTGTGGACGTTGGCGCTTCAACGAATACCGAATACCGAGAATAATCGGTCCAAGCGTGGCAGCACTGCTTCCCGCTGACGATGATAATGACAATGAATGATGAACTAACAACCAACCTCAACTAAATAGACGTTGCGAAACGCAATTTACAAGAGAGAGAGAGAGAGAGAGAGTAGTCGGTCTTCTCTATCTAGCTCTGTGACATCCTCTCTCTCTCTCTCTCTCTCTCTCTCTCTCTCTCTCTCTCTCTCTCTTTTCCATACTCGCGTACGCACGCCGTACCTCCTCACTACCCGCACTAACAAACAAAAATAAAGCAAGGGCAACCAACCATCGCCACCCAGCTTCAACCCCACACGGCTAAATAAGCCCACACCCCGCGGCAAATCGAACGACTTCATTGCCAAACGTACAACAAACGCTACAATTATTAATGAAGAGAAAGAGAGGGCGCCGAAGCACGCCTCGGGGGAACGAGAAAAAGAAGCCACGAGACCAATAAAGTGGTGAAATCGAGAGCGGACGAGAGAAAAAAAAAAAAAAGGAAGGGGGGACCGCCCAGGAATACGTCTGCGACGGAGCCATAATACATGTTCAGCGCACAAGGGCCGAAAAGGCACAAAGGCCAGCCAAAAATCAAAGAGGCTCTCTAATCTCCGCCCCCGACTAGCTTCGCCATGGGGTAAAGTAAATTCTTGACACCATTGCAAGGACAAAACGAAGCAGCAAGAGCAAGCTCTCCCCCTGAAAACATCCATCTCACAAACAACAGCGCCTCGTACTACGGTACGCATCCCCCTCTGTACGTCTCCCAATCAGCGCACGTGAGACATCAATACAAACGCGGCGTTTCATGCCGCATGCACACGCTCACAAAACATCAAAAAAACTTTCGGATTGCACGAGAGCACACAACCCCCGCGCATGACTGCTGTCGGTACGCGCTTACGGTGGTGGAAAATGATCGCGTCTTGATACGTAAAAAATGATACCTACAACCACACACAGTTTATGCGCAGCTTGCACCCAAGGAGTGTCCCCAGGCGTAGCTGGTGACACCGCCGCTGTTTGTTGTAGTTGTTGGTGATGCCCCCCCCCCCCCCCCCCCCCCCCCTGGGCAGGGCTTTCCCCCTTTTAAGCGAAAAACTTTAAAAGAATAAGGGCTTTTAATTTTTCCCTGCCCGGGGGGGTCCCCATTTAAAAGACCCCCCCCCCCCGCAAATTCCCTTTAAAAAAAATTTCCCCCCCCCCCCCAAAAAAAAAAAAATTTTTTTTTTCCCCATTTCTCCCAAAAAAAAAAAAAAAAAAACCCCCTTTCCCCCCTTTTTGTGGAAGCCTTCGAAAATTTATCAAGCCGTTCTTTTTTTTTTTGACTTGGGGGGAAGCAAAAAAGCACACCCCCTAAAACCAAAAGGGGGGCCCCCG